TTTATCAATTTCTTCTAGATTGTCCAATTTGTTGGCATATAGTTTTTTATAGTATTCTCTTATAATACTTTGTATTTCTGTGGTATCTGTTGTAATTTCTCCTCTTTCATTTCTAGTTTTATTTATTTGAGCCTTCTCTCTTTTTTTCTTAGTGAGTCTGGCTAAGGGTTTGTCAATTTTGTTTATCTTCTCAAAGAAACAGCTCTTTGTTTCATTGATCCTGTCTAATGTTTTTTTGGTTTCAATTTCATTTATTTCTGCTCTAATTTTTATTATTTCCCTCCTGCTGACTTTAGGCTTTGTTTTTCTTTCTCTAGTTCTGTTAGGTATAGTTTAAGGTTGCTTATATGGGATTTTTCTTGCTTGTTAAGGTGGGCTTGTATTGCTATGACTTTCCCTCTCAGGACCGCTTTTGCTGCATCGCATATGAGTTGATATGGTGTATTTTCATTTTCATTAGTCTCCAGATATTTTTTTATTTCTCCTTTAATTTCATCAATGATCAGTTGGTTGTTCAGTATCATGTGGTTTAGTCTCCACATCTTTCTCACTTTCCCAGTTATTTTCTTGTAGTTGATTTCCAGTTTCATAGCATTATGGTCGGAAAAGATGCTTGTTATGATTTCAGTCTTCTTAAATTTATAGAGGCTTGCCTTTTTTCCCAACATACGGTCTATCCTTGATAATGTTCCACACATGTTTGAGAAGAATGTGTAGTCTGCTGTTTTTGGATGGAGTGCTCTGTATGTGTCTATTAGGTCCATCTTGTCTAGTTTTTCGTTTAAGTCCACTATTTCCTTATTGTCTGGATGATCTATCCATTGATGTAAGTGGGGTGTTGAGGTCCCCTACTACTATTGTGTTGTTGTTAATATCTCCTTTTAGGTTTGTTAATAGTTACTTTGTGTGCTTTGGTGCTCCTGTGTTGGGTGCATATATATTTACAATTGATGTATCTTCTTGGTGGAGTGTCCCTTTTATCATTATATATTGCCCCTCTTTGTCTCTGATTACCTTTTTTTTATCTTGAAGTCTACTTTGTCTAAGTATGGCAACACCTGCTTTCTTTTATTTGCCGTTAGCTTGGAGTATTGTCTTCCATCCTTTCACTCTGAGCCTGTGTTTGTCTTTAGAGTTGAGATGTGTTTCCTGGAGGCAGCATATTGTTGGGTCTTGCTTTTTAATCCATCCCGCCACTCTGTGTCTTTTGATTAGAGAATTCAATCCATTTACATTTAGAGTGATTATTGATATTATACAATGTTATAAACCAATGTTACTGCAATAAACAAACAAAAAAAATAGAGTGATTATTGTTATATGAGGGCTTAATGTTGCTATTTTCTTGCTCATTTTCTGGTTCTTTTGCATTTCCTTTGTTTCTTGTCCCGTGTGTTTTGGACTATCAATTCAGTTTGGTAGTTCTGTATGATGATTCTTTCAGTTTTCTCTTTATTTATCATATGTGACTGTGTTCTGATTATTTGTTTAGTGGTTACCTTGAGGTTTGTGTAAAAAATCTCGTGGATGAGATGGTCCATTATCTGATGACCTTATTTCCTTAGACTAAGTCGATTCGATCCCTTTCCTCTTCCCCTTCTAAGTTATTGTCACAACTTATTCCATCTTGTGTTGTGAATGTGTATTTAAAGTGATGAGGTTATATTTATTTTTAGTATTTTCCTTCCCTTAGTCTTGGATTTTTATAATTATTTGCTAACCTATTCTGATAGAGAACTGCAATTTTTCTGATTTTGTCTACCTATTTTTCTCCTTGCTCACAGCTTTGTATTCCCTTTCTCTTTTTTTTTCCTCAGGTATGAGGGCCTTTTTGAGCATTTCTTGTAGTGGGGGTCTCATGGCAATGAACTCCCTTAGCTTTTGTTTATCTGGGAAAGTTATTATTTCTCTATCATAGCTGAAGGATATTTTCACTGGATAGAATATTCTTGGCTGAAAGTTTTTGTCTTTCAGAGTTTTGAATATATCATTCCAGTCTTTCCTAGCTTGTAAAGTTTCTGTCAAGAAATTTGCTGAAAGCCTAATGGGAATTCCTTTGTATGTTATTTATTTATTTTTTGTCTAGCTGCGCTTGATATTGTTTCTTTGTCAGTGACTTTTGCCAGCTTTACTACTATATGCCTTGGCGAGGGTCTTTTCATGTTGATATATTTAGATCTCTTGACTTCGTTCACTAGTATTTCCAGCTCCTTCTCCAGATTCGGGAAGTTCTCAGCTATGATTTCCTTGAACAAGCTCTCTGCTCCTTTTTCCTTCTCTTCTCCCTCAGGAATACCTATAATCCTTATGCTGCATTTCCTAATTGAATTGGATATCTCTCGGAGAATTTCTTCAATTCTTTTTAGTCTTAGTTCTCTCTCCTCCTCTATCTGGAGCATTTCTGCATTCCTATCCTCAGTAATGCTATTTCTTTTCTTCATATTGTCAGCTCTGTTCTTTAAAGAGTCCAGGTTTTCCTTTATCTCCTCCATTGTGTTTTTCATCTCGAACATTTCTGATTGGTTTTTCTTTATGGTTTTAATCTCTTTTGTGAACAAATTCCTGATTTCATTGAATTGCCTGTCTGTATTTTCTTGTAATTCGTTGAGCTTTTTTATCATCACTATTTTGAATTCTCTGTCATTTAGGTTATAAATTTCTGTGCCTTCAGGGTTGATTTCTGAGTGCTTGTCATTTTCCTTCTGGTTGGAGATTTAATATATTTTTGTATCGTGCCTGCTGATGTTGGCTTATTTTTCCTCATCCTAAAAATATGTGGTCGCAGTTTTCACCTGCCGCCACTGGGTGGGGCCGAGGGCTGTGTATTCTGAGCCCGCTGCAATCCATGGGCACTCTGGCCGACTGGTTGTGCTGGGGCACAACCGGTCGTGTGGGGGTGCCGGTCGTGTGGGGGGAGGGGCTCTCTCTTTCACCTGCCAGATCCCGGAGGCTTCTCGTTCTTCCCTCACTATCTGCTCTCCTGTGGTGCTCAGATGTTGACTGCACCCCCACAACAGTTCCGTCTCCTCCATATGGGAATTTCCCACAGGCTGTGAGAGAACTTGGAGAGCCACCATTTTCCCGCAGAGGGCCACCTCCTCTCCCCTCTCTCTCTGGGAGCCCCACAGACCTGGAGACCGCCGATTGAATGGGGAGGGGGAGGATTTCTCCTTACCTGTCCCCACTTCCTCCACGGGTTCCAGCACCTTCACCTTCAGATGTATGGCTATGTGGGTCTCTCAGACGTACTTTGTGTTGTATGAATGTCCTCTGTTGGTATGTGAATGTTCTTTTAGTTGTATCTTCACAGGGGAGAGTCTACGGGGAAAGCTCACTCCACCATGATGCTGATGTCACTCCTGGTTTTTTTTTAATACTGTAAATGTCTCCATTCTGCTAACTGAAGGGGTGGGTCTTGGACTATTATATTCACTGTATTTACTTCCTCAGTTCCTTCTGACTGGCAGGATGGAAACTAGCAAAGTTGTGGAGGACTGACTGAGGGAGAACATGATGGTTGTGGGCGAGCACACCTATTGAAGATGGAGACCAGCACACTTTGTTCACGAAACATAGCATCTCAGTCCCTTGTTGAAGGTTTAGGTCATTAAAAAGTTTTCAAGATTTTATTCAGAACAAGTAATAATGACAAGTATTCACAAAAGAAAGTTGTGACTTTTTCTGTACAGTTTCAACAGTTCACCTTCGTCTTTGGAGGCGCGTCCTTTGTGATGCTGAGGGACTCAGACATGGTTATTGACGGCTTTTCTGGTCTTCTGCGTGATGTGTATAGCTAATTCCCTGCCTTCTCTTCTGAAAATTTGCACATCATTTTCATATACTTTGTTAAATGAAAACTTCTCTCTATAATTGTCATATAGCTGCTTATACCTTAAAATGTCACCTGTTTAGTGACATCAGAAATCTGAGACTGGCTGATTTTTTTAAAGATTCTGTTTATTTGGAATACACTACCTTCCCCTTGTTCCTCAAGTCAAGTCACACTGCACTTGTTATCTGTAAACACTCCGTGTTTAAGAGGCATGCAACTGAAGGGTGCCCAATCATTAGAGTTGCACCTTATCCGCGTTATGGTGCAGCTGTACATTTCTAGTAAAATTTCAGACTGCTAGCAGAGTTGTTGCTTAACATGCTGATAGTTAACCTTGTGGACGATGTGTGTGCTTTTCAGAATGCAGTAAAATCCCACTATGGTGCTGCGTGGATTCAACTATACCACAGCAGCTTGCTGAAGCATGATACCTCCCCCACCCAGACATAGCATAATGGGTTCAGAATAGAGGCATTCAGTCCTAACTTCCAGCATCAGCATTATAAATCAACAATATAGTATTTTGAAGCAATTTTTAAAATTTTTCTGCTTTCTCTTTTTTTAGGATTTAAACTTGAGTAAGTAGATTAACACAAAAACCTTCATCTCTTGGGGAAGTTCCCTTTTCTCCTTGATGTCCTGGTACTGACATTAGATGGTAGAGATTTTATTTCCCTCCCTGGGCCAGGGCACATCACTGCAGTAGGAAGGCAGGAAACTTTATAAGCCCAAATCACATGTGAATTAATGAATGTTTTTTTAAATGACTTTGACTTGTTCTTGCCAGGATACAGTCACAGATTCCTTGTGCTTTGATGTGAAGATGAATAAGAGGACATTTAAACAATGTGAAAAATGGAATACTTTTATCAAGAACTGTTTCTTTATTGAAAGTTCACAACAATTCTGTGGAAATGGTGTCACTAGATTGACAGAAGTGGAGCGGCCCTACTAGGAGGAGTTTTTATTTTGTGTCCACCACCCATTCCTTCTGATGCGACTGGACAGACTGGCTGCTGCCTGAGCTGCACGTTCTGAGTTTACTCTGAGCTGGTTTTTTGTGTTTCTGCCTCAGCAGCTGTGCATGGGCTGGTTTCACTTTGTAAGCGGGACTGTTGGAAGCCAAGCACATTTCTGAAAGTTTCACTGTTTGTATCTCTTCTTCCAGGGGGATGACAGTCTGTCCGCGATTACCTTTGACTCTGACTTTGAGACGGTGAGTGTGACGGCGAGGCAGTGTCGGAAAGCTGGAAAGCTGGGCTGGGTAGAAAATGAAGCCACTACCTGTGGCTTGTCCCGGGGCTGCTTACTGTTCCCTGCACTTTGACTCACACACGTACAGTAGGTCGTTCCCCACACGTGCTGTGTTTAGAGCTGGAACAGAAGTTCCACATGCTGCTCAGGGTTTGTGAAGTTTCAAGCCCTTAGTTGGATTTGTGTAACTGTGATTATAATCTTAAAACCTTTATCCAGAAGTTAGTCCTGGGCAGATGACAAGTTCCTCTCCTGCATCTGGTTTTGGCCCACACTCCCCCCCAGCCCCTCAATCCTGACACGTCAGGGGCGGGAGAAGAGTTCAGATTGAGGTAGTCAGAAGTGACTGTGGTGGGAGAAAGGAGACCCTTGAGCAGCTGTGGCTCTGGAGGTGCACGATGTCCTGGCTTGGCTGCCCCGTCCCCAGGGTGCTGGGAACTGGCCTGAAGGGAGAGTGGACAGCAGGAATGGGCAGATCAAGGGGTCCAGAGGCAGACTGTGGCCCCCAGCCCGGCTGCTCTGGGTTTGTTTGGAAAGCTGGGCTGGGTAGAAAATGAAGCCACTACCTGCGCTTGTGGTGAAGGAAGAGCAACAGAAGCATGTCTCCCAGCAGATGGGGTTCTAGTCAGACCACAGCACGGAGCTCTGGGGAATCCGGCCCCAGCAGACCTTGTTCCACCTCCACTCTGTGGACTCGGGGAGAAGCATGGGTCCACTGTCTGCTGAGGGACCTCTGCGGAGTTAAGAATTCTCCCTTGACGCCACTGCGGACATGGGCCCAAGATGCTTGGGTGGGAGGAGGTCATCCAAACCAATCTCCCAGGGCAAATTCAGCCTGCACGGAACGTGGAGTTCATTGTTTCCGCTGGAAGGGAAGTAAGGGGAATTCTCTGTCTGTGGGAAGCAGGAGAGGAAAATAAGACATGGAGAGCTCTGCCATTTCCCAGACCACGTAGCTACTAGTAGGAGAACCCAGTGGGTGCCCAGTTCTGCATTTGGCATCATGGTTGTCGAGGGAGGTGGTATTCCAGCCAAGGTCCTTCCTCTGCTGGACCCTCCCTCCACAGTGGGACTCGCGGTGGCCTTATTCACAGGTTTCATCTTGCTGAATCCGCCCTCGGGGACAGTCACAGCCTGGTACTCCGGGCACTTGCGGGAGGACAGTTGGGTGGTCTCTTCAGTCTGGAGTGAAGATCACCAGGCCCTCCGTTTCTGTGATTAGACTGGTGCCACGAGGGCCCTCGGGAGCCCAGCGCAGCCTCAGCGCGGCACTGACCACAGTTCCTCGTGGCCCCTCCCGTGCCCTGTGTTTCTTCCTTTGCTCAGACTGTGCTTGCGTCTCCGCTGAACTCATCTCCTCTCATTGCCTTTCTACCCCCTCCAACCAGTTCTGAACATGCCTTGCTTCTTGATTGGGGCCAGTTTGGCTGCTGGAGAAGGCTCAGCATACTTTACATCGTTTCTTCTTTCTTTCAGAAAGCAAAAAGGAAAAGTTTCCGCAAACCTCCACCCCCATCACCAAGTAAGTATGACCAGGCCCCGCCGTCCCTCCAATTCCCACAGTTTAACTCGGAAAATGGTTTCTAGAAGCCCTCCTTTTCTAGTGTCCTGGGAGAAAGATCAAGAATGTTTTCACCTTTGAACACTTAGGATCATTGAGACACAACACTTGGTCAGTGTCGTGTTGTGTCTTGGGATCTTGGGAGTGTGCACTCCTGGGCTCACCGCCGTCCCCAGTCATCCCACAGGTCCCAGTGGTCCCGGTGGGAGGAGGCCCAGCCAAGGGCTAAGGCTGCTGAGCAGTCCCTGTCCTGCTGAGCCTCCCGCGGGCGCGGTGCCTCTGGCCTTTAGTGTTCCCTTTCTCCTGCTTTCTCGCGTCGCCTCACTCTTCAGAGTGCTCCACAGTGGGAGGACCTTTTTTAACCTCAGGATTGTTGCTTAAGACTCAAAGCTGCTCATCTGGGTGCTGTAGTGAGAAGGTGGAGACATTCCAAGACCTGGTGGAAAGTTGGCAGTTTATTTCCTTTTCGGATCGCCCTGGGCTTATTTTGCCAGCAGGATTCTTCTGTTGCCCGTCCTCGGCAGGAGGAGGGCAGCTCTGTCCATGGCCCTGGTCAGGCAGGCGCTGCCTGTCAGGGAGGATGTGGCAGGAATGGGTCTTCCTCAGTTTGGGCTGTGGTAACACAGACAGGGCGACTTCTAGACAACAGGCATGTACTTCTCACAGTTCTGGAGGCCGGAAGTCCAAGACCAGGATGCCAGCATGGTTGGGTTCTGGCGACGTCCCTCTTTTGGGTTGCAGACGGCGGCCTCCTCGTAGTATCTCACATGGTGGAAGGGGCAAGACAGCTCTCTGGGTCACTTCTATAGGGGCACTGATCCCATCATGAGGTCCCCACCCCATAGCCTAATCACCTCCCAAAGACTCACCTCCTAATACTATCACATTGGGGCTTGGGTTTCAGCATACGGATTTTGGAGGACACACCCATTCAGTCCTTAACAGGAGGGTTAGTCCAGACGGCCGCCCAGGCCTCTCTGTCTCTGTTCTAATGTTGCTCTAGTGCACAGTGATCCGTATGTGAATTTCATGCTGACAAATGTCTGTGTGACAAATTTTAAATCCTAGATTTGTTGCCTTTTGCTACTCTAAAGCGTTCCTTGACTTTATCATATATGTATGTTTTTTATTTACATATATATTTCAAACATATTGTGTCATATATATGACACACTCAGAGAATACAAATGAACTTTCATATTAGCCCAAGTAGAACATAATTAAATTCCTGCAAAGCAAAGGAAGCGTGTTTTATATTACAAATAAATATAAACATTAGAAAGAAATCATCTAGAATTTGGATTTTTGGTGTCCTTCCTCTCCTTCCAGGGAGAAAATTGAGAATTGATGTAAAGTAAAAGTGTGAGTGTTTGTGTTGTAAACCTTCTCATTTTAGAACCATTTTGTTTAAGTCCTTCTTGACCAGAAGGTACCTAAGGTAACTATTAGACCATCTTTCATTGCTCTTATTTTAAGTCAAGCATTTCAAGTATTAAGAAGAGTAATAATCAAATTTTTTTTATCCTGATTTCTGTAAATGTCAGAATTGTGTTTGATGTGATTTAGAATGGCCCAAACCCCAGAAGCACTACAAACTGGAGAGGTGTGCTGTAGCTCAGGGGCTGTGCTCTCTCCAGACGGCTCTGGCCCCTACACCAGTCCTGGTTCTCAGCACCTTGCTCCCTGCAGACATGCCATGTCCCCTCCGAGCACTCTGGTGCCTCTTTTCACATAGCTCGCTCAGCCCTCTCAGACTCGCCAGACCTCGGCTCAGATATCACTTCCTCGGGTCGCACCCGTCATCCGCTCCCATCTCATCCTTCATAACACCGTTCAGGAGGTGTTCTTATGGTTTCTGTGCCATAAGAGCAGGGACCATGGCTGTCCTGTTCACTTGATAAATGTTTTTCTTTAGTGCCTAATCAAGTTCCATATGGGTTTGTAGTTTCCAAAGATTTTTAATCCTCCCAGCACTCCGGGGAAGACGAGGCAGGTGGTGATGTTTCAGGGTTTATTATTTCCAAGGTAGTGTCAGTCGCTAACATAGTTCATTCTTCCTTCTTCCTTCCCAGCTTGTATCCACATGCATGCGTGTTTCCTGAAGCATTCTTACTATTCATTGATAAATCACATACATTTAGGAGGAAGATGTCATTTGTGGGTCTTTTTTCTGATCACAAATTTACTTTTATAAATGAGCACTTACATGGGTCTTTAAAGTTTGGAAGGCCTTCAGAATGTCCTGGGAGTGGGTACTCTGGTCCTAGGGGAGTGAGAATGCTCCAGGGTGTGATGTGTCTTTATTCCCTCCTTCTAAATTATGATGGGAAATTTTCCATAAATTTTGAAGCCATGGAAACAACTTAGGAATTAAAAAAATTAATTAGACTTAGATTTTGAAGACCTTCCACAGATGTAAATTTCTTTGCTATTTAGGAAATATAAGCGTGTCTTATGAATAACTTAGTTTTTGCATAAATTTGTCATATTTTACCTAATTAAAGGGCTGAAATCCCAGATTGAAAAATAATTTTAAAACATTTCCCTCATTTTGATGACAACCTCAAAAATGCCCTGGAAAGGTATAATGTTTTCTCATTTCTTCTAGATATTTTACATATTAAGTTCTAAATATTATTACTTACGTCACTAGGTAGCAACATGAAAAATATTTACAGCGTTAAGTATAAAGGATATAAAATTGTGTTCATTATGACTGGGACTATGTAAAAATATATATGTAATTGAAAAAATCAAATGGGAAATTAAATATTGTAATATTGGTAGAATTATAGATTCATGTTTTTACATAAATTTCCCATTGTTATTACTTTATAATAAAATTTTAAAAAATGTAAGTATATATATATATCATAGTATATATAGATTCATAACTATATTTTTTATTCTTGTCATAATGTTTTTATCTGGAGTCGTTATGCCCTTGTGAATATTTTGTTTTGTTGTTTTTGCCTTTCCAAAGCGCATGTGTTGAGGGGGCATTGATATTTTGTACCTCTAAAACCATGTATTGGCTTTTTAGAGTCACCTTATCACTCTAAGCCAAGAAAAGTGGCATCCTGGAGATCTCTGAGGACAGCGACGAGCATGCCTCTTAGCAACAGAATGTCCTTGACCCCGCAGAAGCTGTGGCTGGGAAGCTCAAAGCAAGGTACGTGCCTGCTCTGGTAGAAACCTTTCCTGCTCGAGAGGAGGGTTTTAGAAATTGTAGGTGGTGATTTGAGATAGAGGTTTTTTTTGTGTGAGGAAGATCAGCCCTGAGCTAGCATCTGTCGCCAATCCTCCTCTTTTTGCTGAGGCAGACTGGCCCTGGGCTAACATCCATGCCTGTCTTCCTCCACTTTATATGGGACGCCGCCACAGCATGGCCTGACAAGGGGTGCATCGGTTTGCGCCCAGGATCCAGACCTGGGCCACAAGCAGCGGAGCTCGAGCACTTAACCGCTATGTCACGGGGCCAGCCCTGAGATAGAGTTTTTAATACATGTTGTCTGAGTGACATTGTTTTTAATCTTTTCACAGACATTGAGCCTCATAGCTTTTACAGTGACATGTCAGTGTGGTTTCTGACGGTTTGTGTGTGTGACATTTTATGCTTTTGGGTCTTCTGTTGTCTTAGCACTGCTGGCAGTGGTGTGTTGGAGCCAGGCCCTACCAGCTTGCAAGAGCCAATTGTTAAATTTTTAGGAATTTTGTGAACTGGTCGATATCACACTGGTAGCTTGAAATTGGACATGGTGGGAACTGTTTATACCATGGAAGTGGGCAAATGCTGTAGATCTGGGTTTTATTTATTTCTGAGAGCCGGTGGTTGAACATTTGTCAGCACACTGCTGATGGCCGCTATCTACTGGTTGACTGAAGCTGTCTTCAACCCAGGAAGATTGATGTTAGAGACAAAACTTGCTGTTGTATTTACTTGTACCTGTCATATTAAATCCATGCACATTCAAACCAGGAAGTCTGACCCAACCCCTGAAGTCAGACCTCACCTTGGAGCATGCATGGACCAACCCCCCCAGCAGCACTCCCGACTATCTGACGGAAGCTTTAAGAATGAAGAGGTCCCATCTCAGGCGTTCTGCCAGCAATGGTGAGCACGTTGATGGTGACAAAGGCTTGACTAAGGAATAGCAGAAAGGAAAAGCTTTGGGATTCAAGGGCGTCCTTTGAGAAAGTGAGATTTTGGGCTTCCTGTACTAGCTGCATCAGTGGAGATCATGGGGTGTCCTGAGGACAGTGACTCTGCAAGTCCATTCTGCCCTCCTAGAAAGTGGCTTTCCTAACGGGGACAGTGACATGTTCCCAGGCTTCAATCATGCCTACCTCCCTAAACTTAGAGTCTTATTGAAATTCATTGTATAAACAATATTAGAAATGAAATGAAAATTGCAAATAATCTCACCAAAAAGAATGGGTTTGTTTTTATGTTCCTGTCTACTGTCTGGTCTTCGCCCCAGGCTTTCACTGCTCTTCGCATAGCCCTCCATCGGAAGCGTGGTGAGACCTTGTCACTGTCGCCCTGAGTTGATCACCTTACTGCGCTCACAGGCTTGGAGCTCTATTTTAGGCTTAAATTTTTAGAGTCTCAATATATTAGATATCGTATTGAAACCAGAGCACACTGCACTATTCCGGCCTGGGAATGGGTGTTGTCACCTGTCGTGAGCACTGTTTGTCTTTTTGTTCTCTTTGCTATTTAAAGTCTAACGTTTCACTTCTCCTTTGGACTCCCTTCTTTAATCCTTTTACTGTAATGCAGCCCTGTGTTCACATCTTTTAGTTTTCTCCTGCTTCTTCTTTCTACATCACTACCATTTTTGGTTTCCTCACTTTTTGGAAAAGTATTGTGGTCAAGCTAAAAATGAAATACTTTTGTTCTCCCTTTTAAAAGGATAATATTAATTTCCAGGTGTTCCTTGAGGTGTAGCGAAGAATTTTTTCTACTTTTCAGATGATCTTCTGAGGGGTTTGTGTGTCTTCTTCCAGGTCATGTTCCCGGGACCCCTGTCTACCGAGAGAAAGAAGACATGTATGATGAGATCATCGAGTTGAAGAAGGTAGTATTTCTGTCTGCGCTTTGTTGATTTTAAATAGTGAAGGCCTTCTATAACAACGGGTGGAAAAGTCAGTATCTTTGCTGGGATGTGTCCGTATGGGAAGAACATAAGCTTTAAAGAGACACCTGAATTGAAACCCTGGCAGGGACCTTAAGAGCTGGGTGAGCCTGGTGAAAGAGAGGCCTGGACCAGCTGTAAGAGAGGCCTCAGCAAGGCCTAGACTCCTTCTGTGCTCTACCTTTCCAGCACGGCGGAGAACACTGGGAAGGACTAGATTAACTTCAGAGTCCCTTTGCACCCTGAGACTTGACTTTAGGAAAAGGTCATTTGGTGTTGTTATTATCAATACCTCCCATTTGTGTAATTTGTTGGTGTTAACAAGACATTTCACATACGCTGTCTCAGTTGATCTCTACAGAAGCTCTGTGAGATAGGTTACAACTATTATCTGGTGATGCCCTTGAGACTCAGAGAGGTTAGTAGTCTGTCCAAGGTTAACCAGTAGCAGGACCAGGATTTCCATCAAGGTCATCTGCCTCCCAAGGCCAAGGCTCTTTTTACTGCCCCATACTGTCTCCTATTCCCTAGAGTGTAAGTTGCATTGACATGAATCATCATCATCATCATCACCTTCACTGTCACGACTGTCATCACACTGATCTTTAGTATCCGCACACATTCTTGTGCCCCTGGAGAGATGACCAGGGCTCATTCCCTTCCGTAATGTTAGACTGTTTATAGATGTACTGTTCCTTCCAATTGAGCCGTGTCTGGAGGACTGTGATCAATCTGGGCACCAGAGGTTAAGCAGGGCATTGGCAGCCAGCGTACCCAGAGCATGGTGAGGAGTCTGGAAGCCATCTCACCTGAGGTCACAGGAAGAAACTAGGAGCACCGGGTACATCCCTGTGTACAAGACACAGTCCTTCTCTCGTGGTCCAGAGAGGATGTTCAGATTTTAGGTAGGATCAAAAGAATGGTCACCCATAGGAGCTATCTAGCAGTGAGAGTGCCACCTGATGAATCAGTACACGCCCTGTCCTTAGAGATTTTAAAGAAATGTTGGATGACTATCTGGGATATTGTAGAGAGAATTCTTATTTTGGTTGGGAGACTGTACTAAATAAGCTCTGAGAGTCCCTGAAACTGAATAATCACCACAGTAGCACTCTTGCAAGGAATCTTCTTGGGGCTAGAAATGAGTCTCTGGGTAAAATTATACTAACTTTATTCAAACATACCATCATGGGTTTCTGGATAAATCAGCCTAGGCTTCCAAATTCAGAGAGAAAAGAATTTTATTTTCAGTACTCTGTTGCTCTGGGATCTTGAGCATCAGAGTAGTTTTTTTATGGCAAGTGATGCCTCAATTTCCTATTGAAAAATGGGGATAATAATAGTACAATTTCATAGGGTTGTTGTGAGGATTCAATAATCCATGAAAGTGCTTTAGTACAGTGCCTAACATACAGTAAGAGATCAATAAGTGTAGACCATTTGTAAAAAACTTATTTTGAAATAATTATAGATTCCCAGGAAGTTGCAAAGATAGTACAGAGAGTTCCCTTGTACCCTTCACCCAGTCTCCCCTAATGGTTACCTCTTACATAACTACAGCACGATATCAAAACCAGGAGATTGACATTGATAACATGTACGTGTATGGTTCTGTGTCATGTCATCCCCTGTGTAGATTCATGTAACCACCACTGCTATCAAGACACAGAACTGCTCCATCACCACAAAGATCTCCCTCATGCTGCTCCTTCATGACTCACCTCCCTCCCCTATAACATCCCTAACTCCTGGCAACCACTGATTTTTTCCCTCCATCTCCATAATTTTGGCATCTTGATAATATTATATAAATGGAATCCTATAGTATGCGACTTTTTGAGATTGGCTTTTTCCACTCATCACATGCCCTGAGATGCATCTGGATTGTTACATGTTTCAGTAGTTCTCCCTTCTCAGCACTGCTTTAGCTGTGTCCTACAAATTTTGATATGTTGTATTTTTTTGATGTGTTCTTCCCTTTAAGACTCTTTGACTCATGACTATTTGGAATTGTGTTGTTTAATGTCTAAGAGTTTAAAGATTTTCCTGTTATTTTTGTTGTTGACTTCTATTATGAGTCCATTGTGGCTGCAGAACACACTCTGTATAATTTCATTTCTTTTAAATTTGTTGAGTTTTGCTGTATGGCCCTGGGTATATATTTGTGTATGTTCCATGGGAGTTTGAGAAGAATGGCTGTTCTGTTGGTGGGTGGCATGTTCTGTAATGTCAGTTAGACCCTGTTGGTTGATGGTGGTGTTGAGTTCTTCTGTATCCTTGCTGACTTTCTGTCTAGCTGTTTCATCAGTTATTGACAGAAGGATGTAGAAGTCTCCAACTATAATGGTGGATTTTTCCATTTCCCCTTGCAGTTTTATCAATTTTTGCTTCACATATTTTACAGCTGTTATTTGGTGGGTAAACATTTAAGATTGCTGTCTTCTTGGTGGATTGACCTTTATAATCTTTATATAATGTCCCTCTTTGTTCTGGTAATTTCCTGTTCTCTAAGTCTGCTTTATCTGGTATTAGTATAGCCACTCCTGCTTTCTTTTGATTAGTGTTTTGATGACATCTCTTTTTCCATCCTTTTATCTTTGACTTACCTATTTCATTATGTTTAAAATGATTTTCTTGTAGACAGCATATGGTTGGGTCATGTTTTTTAATCTAATTTGCCCATCTCTCTTCTAATTGGTTTGTTTAGATCATTTACATTTAATGTAATTGCTGATAAGTTAGGATATGTCTCTCATTTGTGTGTGTGTGGCCTCATTACCACCAGACAATGAAAGTCCTGACCCTCCAGTAGGCCTCCTCTTGCAACCCCCCCACATTCCCAGTGAGGAGGAGGCAGGGTGCCTTGCTGCAGCCTGGCAGGGGTAGAGGTCCAGGTTCCCCACTCAGCCTTTGCTGGCAGGGGTGGCGCCATGGTGTTTCCTGTGGTGTTTGTGTGGAGTGGAGCAGTTGTCAGTAAGTTTTCTGCCTTGTTAGGCTCCCCTTTTCTGCTAGAGAGAGGATGCTTTTCTTGTCTGTGCCCATTGGCTTATCCAAGCTGTTGGTTTGTCCAGCACCCAGTCCAGGATGTATGTGGCAAAAGAAACTTGGAGGAACTCTCTGCTCATTGTTCCTCGAATCCTGAGGTCCCTTGCTGGCCTGCCTTCTTCTCTCCACCTTTCTGAGTCTTCTTATGTTTGTTTTATGTACAGTGTCCAAGATTGTAGCTGTCCTAAGCAGGAGAAATTGGGAAAAGTGAATGTACCCCATATTTCCAGAAGCAGAATTCCCATGATTAGACTTTTATTTCCCAATGACTGTGCATTAACTGACATTCATTAAATACTCATTGAGTGCCAGATGTCTCTCCTGCCCATAGCAACACTGGCAGTCTTGCCAAGTGTGGACATGTGGCTGACATGCCAGGCCTCCCTTGGTGGGATGTGTACTTTGAATCATCTTTCCAGTGGTGGTAGCTGGTTTTGTTCAGACCCTGTCTCTCTTCTGAGCACCAGGAGTCCCTTGAAAGGAGAAGGATGTTTCCAAGATAAGTGGCTAGTTTGGATGCAGGCTGATGCTGGGAGCTCATTAACTAGGACACCAGTAGACCTGTGTTTGGCAGTGCCCACCTGAGGCTTGTGAGCACTGTCTGAACCTCACCCTTTTCACTGTGGAGCTTCACAGACGAAGAAAAAGCTTTTTCAAGTGAACACATTGCAAACAATAATTAAAAATGCTCTACCGTCACCATTTCATAAAAGGACTATGTAAGTCCAAGATAGTACGAAGGATATAATTTCAAAATATAGGATAGTTGTAGAAATTGAATAAACTTAGTTTTGTGAAAAATTAACTACACGGTCTTTTTCTTCTTAATTCACCACAGATTGTTGAAAAACTGATCGGCAGATAAATATTTGGGAACCACTGCTCTGACCAACTAGGCCTTAGTTGATAAAATTCTTAGAGGATAAGAATTTTAAATGGACATTAGCCTTTGATGAGTTTTAGTTATACGTGGTGTGGCAAAAATGGGCTTTTTCGTGTGGACGTGAAGAACGTGTGACATTGGCGCCTTCCAGAATTGCTGTTAACAGTGTCCATTTGTCGAGCAGTGCTTCTCCATGGGGGTGCTGTTGGCATCTTGGGTGGGAGAGTTCTTAGTTGCATGGGATGGTCCTGCACCTAACAGGGCATTTACCCCCCTGGTCCCCACCCGCTAAATGCCAGTAGTGCCCTTCGGTGCCCCTTACTGTGACATCCAGACCTCCCTCACCCCACCACACACACAGTGCCCTGACTGGGGCCCAGGCAGCTTTTGAAATTCTTCTCCAACTCTGTTTCACCTGGATGTTTGTGTGTACATTTTGTGTGTGTGTATGTGTGGTCCTTTTTTCCTTCAGTCATTACACATGCAGAAAAGTGATGTGGACCTAATGAGAACAAAGCTTCGGCGCTTAGAAGAGGAAAACAGCAGAAAGGACCGGCAGATAGAGCAGCTTTTGGATCCATCCCGAGTAAGTTGCTGGCTGTGCGGTGCTGGTGCCCCTGACAGTAGGCGTGGGAACCACAGGCTCTACTCCTCCGACTAAGGGTGAGGGGGTGGGGCAGGGGAGGCTTAACCGCATGTTGTCTTCATGTCTCAATGTACTCACCACAGGGCCCGGATTTTCTTCGGACTCTGGCAGAGAAAAGGCCTGATACCAGCTGGGTGAGTACAATCTCCAGTGAGCTAGACAAGCTTTCCACTGAAACCTGACTTTAGAAACAGCCTGTGGGAGAGAGGCCTCTTCTCCACGGCACTCTTTCAGGAGGAGGAGCAGATGTAGAGGAGGGCTCAAAACTTCCCAAACCACTCTCCACGGAGCCACGGGGACTACAGAAGATGCTGCAGGGCTGTTAGGGGAGTGAGAAGAAGGCTGAGCAGGCTTACCCCAAAGGCAAGAATGCGTTGCAGAAAAAATAGTCACAGCGGGGACTTCCCCATCATCCCTAAAGACACATCATCTTTAACAAGTGTTCCTGGCTTAAAAGAGAGAGACAAAGCGGGAGCAGAATAAAGACCTTAAAACACATACAGACACCTCTTCTATATTATTTAATAACACGTAACAGATTGAATGAAACAAAATGATGGAAAACGGAGCTCTTGTATGATTAATGCTGTGGGAATAAACTATAGCAGCTGGAGAAAAATGTATCACAATAAACCTCATATGAGTCAAGGAAGTATATTTTTTAAAAAAATGTAAAATGCTAAAAGAAAACTGGAAAGGATACAATTTTGAGATTATTGAACACAAAGAATAAAATAACATTAATAATGTGATCAATAGATTTGATAACATAAAATTAAAATTTATAATAAAAACCCTGAAGACTACGATGGATACTGGATCATATAATGGGGAAGGCGGAGGACATTTTGATCACTACAACAGGGTTTTCTCTCCAGAATACACAGAGACTACCAGTCCATCAAAATGAAAGCAGTCTGCTCAGAATCAATGATTAAAGCCTGGTTCTGTGCCCAGGACAGCACAAAGTAAATACTTTAGTGCTTGAGAACGAACCAGTATGTTTCCACAAGAAAACAGTTTTTAGATAATAGCAACTCTTAAACGTTGTAGAGTTGTACAGTTTGCACATGTGCATAGTCTCATTTGATTTCTCATAAAGGGACTTTACTCCCCATTTTTAAAATCAGGAAGCTGAGGCTAAGAGATTCGCCCAGATTGGGTTCATGTGAATGACCATAGCTCTGAAGGCCGGGGTGGTGTCTGTCTCTGTCCTGTCATTTCACCAGCAGTAAATACTTGAGGAAAGGCACCATCCTCAACTCCTGTGAGTCAGACCTCACGCCCTACAGCAGCGAAATAGACACAAAGGACGGAAACCAGGATTGTCAGGACTGAGACAACACGGGCATCCTCAGGACGTAGTCATTGCCTTGTAAGTTGGTCTGACTGTGACCAGCACTGGTCTGTAAGACTGTGCCCACCATTTGTCTAGCACTGCTCCTTTTAGGACTGTCTCAAGGAAAAAATCCTATACAAAAAGCCTTTGGCACAAGGATATTTATAGCTGCCCAATTTGGGGGGAAAATTGAGAAGCCTTTCAAATTGGAATACCACTACATCAAAACATCTTTAGAAAAAGTTTTTTTAAAGAATATAAAACAGTACAGTTATATTCAGAAATATCTACATGATTAATTTGGGTGAGGAGGTAGAATTCAGTAAATAATGGGCTCTTTGTATTTTTGTTGTTCTGATTCTGTGTGCGTGTTTTTTTAATCAAAGTTGATTGAAAGTAGAAATTCCAGATCGCAGGGTATGTGCAGTTTTCACTCTAATGCCCACTGCCAAACCGCCCTTCACAGTGGCGTGGGACTGAACATGTCTCCTTGTCACCGTCTGTGCTCAGGAAGCGTCAGCGCATGTGCACGAGGAGGACTGGCTGAGGGTTTCTATTGAAGGAGGGTTTGTGACAGCAGAGACTGGTCACGACTTAAATGTCTGTCATAGAAGAGCGGGTCACTATACCGTGTGTGTTGGTACCATGGAGGAAGAACATAGGTGTACAGGAACTAGCAGGGATGGATCAAGATGGCTTGTTGAGTGGAAAAGACAAGTTGCAGAATGATATGTGTGGTAGGATACCGTTTGTGTAAACAACAAACGCTGTCCTTTCAGTGGGCACACGTGCCCATGTGCACGCCAGAAGAAGGTCTAGAGTGGACAGCAGTATTAGTGGAGAGGGGTAAGGTCGGAGGGTATAATTTCATCTATAATATTTTAATATTTTTTTACAGGAAAATGTATTCATGTATTGCTAATTTAAAATTACCTTAAAACCCAATTAAAAAGTTATTTGGCTATTCAAAAAGAAAGAAAAGGATATTCTTTCAGCAACATAAGTGTGTTATCTCCCACAGTAACACATTAACAGACAGAAGGAAGAAATGAGGCGGGTGAGCGGTCATTCATTCCCCAGGCAGGGGTGCAGGGCCTCGCCGGGCCTCCGTCCAGCTGTACTCTGCCTCCCTCAGCCCTACACACTCCCAAGGGAGTTCCGTGGACTGAGTTGTTGTGGGGTGGGTGAGGGTTGGTGATTTTTGTATCTGGTGACTGGGGCGTCTTGCTTGAAAATAACTAGTGAAGCGTCCTGTCCATTCTGCTGAGTGTGGAAGTGATGGGGAAAGGCTCTGCACCTTTCGGGCATGCCGATCTTGGCTGCTCCCCAGGCGCATCTCCCATCCCTGCACTGCGCACTGAGTGGGCAGGACAGTGGCCCCTTTCTCTCTCCACTGCGCCTGTAGTCTAGAAGAGAAGCCAGCGATTAAGTAGGGAGGACAGTTCAGTACGAACGCGCTCTGACGGGAGGATGTGCGGGTGCCACCAGATCAGCTGGCAGGGGGCACCTAACCCAGCCTGGGGCCAGGACAGTCTGAGTCTCCAGAGGGTGAGGGAGGCCACAGACGTGGAAACGGTCAACCTGAAGTGGTGGTGTTCTGTTGGCAGGTCATTAACGGGCTAAAGCAGAGGATTCTCAAGCTGGAGCAGCAGTGCAAGGAGAAGGACAATGCTATCAAGTACGGAGACAGCGGGCTGGCTGTGGGCCGTGGGCTCCGGAGGGCACCCACACCTCACCCACGCTAGACCAGCTGGGCTGACACGCATGCCCCTGTCCCGCCTCTGATTTCAGTATCAGTATCTGCGCTGTTTTCTCAGACCACGGCTTTAGTTCCCACCCACACTCCTCTGTTCCGTGTCCCTAGTCCCAGCTTCATCTTCCTACCAAAAAAATGAAAGTAAATAGCCACCTCTTCCAGATGTCACTAAGGAACGGAATTCTCGTTTAACCTTTTCTTGTTCCTGTTACATTCAAGAAATGCTTTCTCTCCTTAGTCTTCTGCGGATCCCTTTTCTCTACAGGAGGAAATGTGTGGGTCTCGAAACAGCCCTAGTGCGCCAACATCTTCCCAGCTGCTTCTCTGTCTTGCACTTGCCTGGGGCTGGTTTTGGCACAGCTGCACATATTTCTTTCCTGTTGTTTTAGTGCAAAAGGAGAGTCTTACCTGGCTGTGACTGAGTTTATTTAAGGAAATCTGAGGTTCTCCTTTCCATTGCCCGACATCTCCTCTTTACACAAGGTTTCCCCCTCTTTTGTTTCTTGCTGAAATTGTCAAAAATTTTTTGTTATTTGCTGATTTCTTCTGTGCTTCCGAATCCTGAGCTCTGTACTTTACTTTCATTTCTCTGTTACAGCCATTTATCTAAAGTCTGTTAAATGTGAGAACAAGCTGAATTATACAGACAGGACAAGGAGAAAAAGTGCTACTCTTTCCTTTATAAAACTATCCTTCCCACCTACCCCCAGAGATGGCTTGTCCTCTCTACCTCTGAGGTCTTTCTTCACAATTACCCCACTTTTTTAAAGACAGGCTCTTACTTAGAAAAGAATATCTTTAGGGAGGCTGTTATTTCACCTGGAAAGTAGCTGGTCTAACATGGAAGGTGTCCTGTGGGTGTGAGGAATTCTCTCGTCAGTCTCAGAATGAGTCTTGTGCAAGGCCACTAGCCCACTGAGGGCTGAGTCAGGCTTCCCCTCCCAGCCCAGTTCTCCTGCAAAGCCCTTCCTCCTCGGATATTTCTGGAAACACTCTTCCTCTTGTTCTGCCCCTGGGAGTGCTGGTGCTGCCACGTTAACTCTGAGCTTGGGTTTTCAGCAAACTACAGACTGATATCAAGACCACTAACTTGGAAGAGATGAGGATTGCCATGGAGACATATTACGAGGAGGTGCGTGCCCTTCTGCCCGGTGCGCGGGTGTGGGGTCGGAGAGTGGAAGGGGGCAGCTGTGGACCTGGGTGATGGCCCGGCTGCACTGTGGGGACCCTGCGCTCCTGTTTCATCTTAACTTAAACATGAATCACAGCAACTTAGTGCTTGCTTCCCAATGCTGGGCAGAAATCGGAATCTGATTGCAGTTTTTTCAGAGGAAGGTCTACTTCGTGGTCATTTTGTATTTTAATGCATTTTCATTTCTTACTTACAGATTCACCGTCTCCAGACTCTGTTGGCAAGTTCTGAAACTACAGGAAAGAAGTATGATTTTCTCTTTGGGAGCCCTGTTTCACGCGTTGTCCTCGTGTTAAACTGCTCTAGACGTAGCTAGTCATTCCACAGAGGCTGCAGCCACTGCCCTTAACTCCGGAGCTGGGCCTGCACTGCGCCTGTTTCATTAACAGTTAGAGTGGACGTGTTTCCGTTTGGAATGGTCACACATGTGCCCGCATAATTGCCACGTGCTGGCTCCTAACAGCATGTTCAGTGCTCCGAGCTTAAGTGTTCATACTACTTCACAGCCTCCAGCTTAGCATTAGAGAACACTGTTTTTCAAAGCAGATCTTCCTTCTAGGAAGACATTTAATAGCAAGTACAAGTTCATTTTGCCAAATAAGTTTATTAGGAGAGACATCCAGGTTTCCTTATCTCATAGATTTCCCTTATCCCTTTCCCGGACAATATCAGGCTTTCAACAGATCATGGAAGGAAGGATCTCCCATCATGGATTTGGTCATGTCACTGGCTCTGCAGTAAATTACTGCATTTGTCAAGCATTTACACTGTGTCAGGCACCATCTTCCCTTTCCCCCAGTAGTATAAAACGTGTTGGCGTGGGGCTGGCCCCGTGGCTTGGCGGTTAAGTGCACGCGCTCCACTACTGGCGGCCCAGGTTCAGATCCTGGGCGCACACTGATGCACCGCTTGTCCGGCCATGCTGAGGCGGCGTCCCACATACAGCAACTAGAAGGATGTGCAGCTATGACATACAACTATCTACAGGGGCTTTGGGGAGAAAAAGGGAAAAAAAAAGGAGGAGGATTGGCAATAGATGTTAGCTCAGGGCCAGTCTTCCTCAGCAAAAAGAGGAGGATTGGCATGAATGTTAGCTCAGGGCTGATCTTCCTCAAAAAAATAAATAAATAAATAAAATGCGTTGGCTAACTCTTCCTGTGAAGGGCCGGTAGCAACTGCAGTTGATTCTCTTTATTTGCAGCAGTTGTGTTCTATAAAGTGTCTGCGAACCCTGAACTGGCGAATACTGACCCACTGCTCCCTGGGAGTACAGAGTTAGGTTCCTGCGAGCCTCGGTCACCACTCTCTCGTCAGCGGTCAATATGTAACCTGTTTGTATGTGTGTTTCTGTTAGACACCTTATTTCATTTATATTGTTGATCCATTGACATTGAGCTCACCCCAGCAGTGCTGTGACTCGGCCTGAGCGAGGCTCATCTAACACACGTGTTTCCTCCCTGAGGCCCGTCACAGCCTTCTCACGCTCGGGAACACGAGCCAGCACTTCAGCACCACACTTGGAGGCCATTTTATTTGTTTATTTTTTATTTATTTTATTGAGGTCATATTGGCTTACAGCATTGTGTAATTTCAGATTACACTGTTATATATCAGTTTCTGCATAGGCTGTGTCGTGCTCACCACCAATAGTCTAGTTTTTATCTGTCACCATATATATGTTCGGGGCCCATTTTGGAGAGTGAAATTACCAAAAAAAGCACAAAAAAGTGAAAAGCATGCACTAAATAGACCATGAAAATGACACCTGTTGACGTTACAAGAGCTGGAGTAAGAAGGCAGAGTGGCGCCTCGCTCAGCCTCAGCTGGGAATGTGCCCAACGAGTGACTCAAATTTTTTGCCACTCCACCCATGTTCATAAGTGACCACGAGAGCACCACAAGTATTGATCTGGGGGTCACTGATAAACTTTAGTAAGTAGGCAAATTTGCAAATATAGAATCAGGGAATAATTAGAATGGACTGCATTTCAGACATTGTGGGATAAGCAGCAAAATCACAACTATTATATAGGCACTTAAGTAACGAGAGAAAATAAATTTCCCCAAATTTTTTAGCGATACAGTTTAAAATATATTACTAATAATTGAATGCAATATTTGTTTATACAGGTTTACTAATGAGAAGAATGGAATTCTATTTTGGGGGATAACAGTTTGCTTATTTGGGGTTCAGAGTTAGTATTTCCTATTCAATTGCAAACACTAATCTGCAGAAACCGCTCTGAGCCGTGGACAGGCGCCCCACGCCATCGTGTTCCTACCCCTCTTTGAAGATGATTGTCCAACTAGTTTAGAAACCCAAACCTCAGCTGCTTGGTTTTGTTGTTCCTAGGCCTCCGGTGGAGAAGAAAAGTGGCCTTAAAAGGCAGAAGAAAATGAGCAGCGCCCTCCTGAGCTTGTCCCGGAGCGTCCAGGAGCTCACGGAGGAGAACCAGAGCCTGAAGGAGGACCTGGGCCGTGTGCTGAGCAGCTCCCCCACCATCTCCAAAATACAGGGTACCTTCCCGAGAGCTGCCCCAGGAGAGAGCTCGAGGAGAGAGGTCGCGTCTCTGGTTCTTTGAGGGAAGACGAGGGGCGGTGGCCATGGGGGGTCGTGGCCCTTCCTCCCTCCCAGCCACCGAGGCCCTATTTCCTTGGCCACAAATGCGGATACATCCCGCTGGGCAACGCTACTCGAAATGTTATGAGCACCTGCTGTTTTAGGTACTGGAGGCAGAGGAGTGAAGGAAAGCGTGCAGACTCCCTCGTGGAGGTGACATAGGAGCAGGGCGGGAGAAGGGAGGCCAGCAGGTCCAGGGTGGGTCGGGGGTAATCTGTGCTATGGAGCAAATTAAAGGAGGCGGGGCGGCAGCAGGTGGGGGCAGTGGGGTACACCTGTGAGTGGGTCATGAGGGAAGGCCCCACAGAGACAGTGACAACCGAGCACAGACCCGAGAGAGCTGAGGGACAGCATGCAATGCTGTGGGGAGGGCCCTGCGTGTGCCTGGCGCGTTTGAGGACCAGTGAGGTGGCCGGTGTGCCCAGCGTGGGGAAGCAGTGGGAGTGGTGGAGACAGAGAGGTGGTGGGGCCAGGTGGAGTGTGGGGGTTTGAGCAAGGGTGAGAAGTGTCTGCCTTGTCTCCTGAGGACCCTTGCTCCTGAGTGGACTGTGCAGAAAAGGGGATTGGAAGACGAAAGCTTTTGCAGTGTCCTCAAGGGGCTGCTGGTGCCGGGACCAGGGTGGTACCGCGGTGGTGAGAGGTGGCCAGGTTCCAGGTGTGTCTTGGAGACCCGATGTAGCCTGTGAGAGGAGGGAGGAGTCAGGTTTCAAGGCTGTTATGTGAGCAGCTGCAAGGCCAGAGGGAAGACGGAGAGAGGAGCAGGGGCAGAGTTGTGGACAGAGGGGCCAGGTCAAGTCTGTGGTGGGTGATAGACGTCCAGGGAAGGCCGGACGTATCAGTGAGTTCAGGGCGGAGGCCCCTGGTGGGAGAACTAGACACGGTGGTCAGCAGTGAGCACAGGACCCAGGTGAGATTCAGGCCACCTAGTGAGTGAGGAGAGAAGAGAAGGGGAGGGGACCGGAGGGTTAGGAGATGATGGGAGGGACCCGCGAGGTGGCCAGTAAAGCCAGGGGCATGTGGGGTCCTGAGGTCCCGAGGAAGGAAGCGTTGGAAGGAAGGAGGAGGGCAGGCAGATAATGCTGGTGGGTCCAGGAGGATGGAGACTGGAACTGAGCTTTGGAATTGGCAGAGTGAAGTCATCAGTGACCTTGAGAAGAGCCATCTTAGTGGGCTGCGGGGGCCAGAGCGTGCCTGGGGAGGAATCAGGACAGCGTGTCACAGTAAGGCCTCAGGAGACCATCAGTGTTGACTCCACAGAGAGGGAACAGAGGGTCCTCCACTGTGAGAGGCCCTCTGGATCGCAGGAATCTGCCGAGTGTGGGTCTTCCGGCCTTGCTGGTGGCTCCACAAGCTGCGCCAGCCTGTGGAAAGGGAAGCTCTCAGGCCGTACTTGAGACGGGTGGTCCAGGCTGGAGGGGTCCATCGAGATGGTTGTATGGTGTGTCTTTTAAAAACTGTTGCTTCCATTAGGTTACATGGAGTGGAGTAAGCCCCGGCTGCTTCGACGGATTGCAGAGCTGGAAAAAGTGAGTGGTGTGCCTCTCAGCGTCACTGTCCTCATTCAGGACATGCCCACACTTGAGGAGTAGCTGGGTCTCGTAAAGTGGCGACAGAAACAGTAGCTTTGCTCGTAGGACTTACGGAGTGAACTAGGTCACACTGAACGTGTAAGCATGGCCGTCTAGCAGACAGCACACAGCAAGGCTGAGAGAGGGGACACCTCACAGTCCAACGAGGCCCAAGAGTCACGTCATTCCTGTCCCTCGTGTTACAGACGCAAAGCCACACGGTCACACGACACAGTTTTGGACTTTCATGTGTAGCCGTAGGTGGATGCAGATGTAGGAGGGTGATCGTAGAGCCTCTCAGAAATGCAGCCGGACGTATACACCTGGGCTTTTTACTGCCAGTCACTTACCAGACTCTTCTTCTCACCAAAACTCACAAACTCAAAGCATGTTCATCCATGCTTTGCCAACCAGAAAATTTGGGAAATTAACATTTCTTCACGTCCCCCATGTGAATTTGCAAACTAGGAATCAATCTGATTCTATTGAAGTTGGTCGAATGTGTCGATGCCTTTTGAGTAGCCTGGTGAAATACTAAGTCAGGTCTGTCGTGTTGTTCGGCTGAGCAGAGTAAACCTAGAGGGGAACGTTTTTAAAAAATTAATTTCACATCTTTACAAAGCAGAAAACTCAAGAAGGTTTTATAAATTGTGGGTCTTTTAAGAATAAAGCCCGTTAGAAGGGAAAGGCACCCAGAGGAGGTTCAGACATCCTGAAGGGCAGTGCTTTTCTGGGCTGAGAGGTGCTGGCCCCAGTGGGAATCTGGAGGTGCCCAGTACCTCCTAGCCAGCAGACTGGGTTATTATGTGAGGTTGAAAATTCCAGAAATCCTGGGGAAAGAATAGGGTCCATGAGCACACAGTAAAGTTGTCGATGAAGTCGTCTCCTGTGGCCCTGCCCCACCCCAGCTGGGGTCTCTCCCGCGCGGGTGGGAGAGAAGGGTGCTGGGCAGGGTGCTCTTCCACTGCCTGCAGGACCCTGGGGTGGGGGAATTGTCCCCAGGAGGCATCCCTAGGTTTCTCAGGTCACACACAGAGCCTTTCCCGTCCCCTTGCCTGGGATGAGTTTCCTGTTGGTCAGGGTCTCTTTTCTGGGTTCCATATATGGAAAGTGTAATAAGAAGTAACATCTGACAAATGCCTGTGTTGCCCCCAGAAAATGAGTTCAATGGAAAGCCCACACTCACCCGCTTCAGAAGTGGTCCAGGCGAGCCCCCTGGCCGACTCCTCGTCCAGCTCCTCCGTGCACCGGCAGCCGCGATCCAACCACCGCGAGGAGAGCGAGCGTCTTTGGGGGACCGTGAAAAGCCTGAAAGGCGAGCGGAATGCCCTGCAAACCCAGCTGCAGGAGAAAGAGTACGTGGTCCCGAGGCGTCCCTGAGGAGGGCTTGCGTTCTGTTGTGAAATGTATTGCCATTGTGAATTGGGGGAAAATGCTCAGCTCAGAGTAGTAATTGCATATATATTTTTATATGATTCTAAAACTTCTATATTTTGGTTGTGAAATAAAGGCAGCTTGAGTGGTAAAAAGGAGACATTAATTGGCCACGATACGTCATTAAAAGAGTGTGGGAGGCTGCCATTTAAATCTCTTTATATTGAATTCCAGAGAGATTTCCAAATGCTTTTTTAGCAAAGAATTTTCTTTCATTGATTTGTGTAAAATAGGCCATCAATTAGACCTTATGCAGAGTGGTTTAAAGCTTCAGTAATATGCTTATGATACCACATCTGTATACAAATAAGACAGAAATGCTGTGAAGTATTCATTGTGACCCTAAGAGTTTGAAAGACAAAGCCTCAAGATTTTGCTTATCCACTGTTTGTTCTCTAGTGTCTTGATCTGTAGCCCGCATAAAATGTGCCTGTCTTCTCTCGCTGTTTACTTGTGGCTTCTCTAGTTGCAGTTCTGTCAAGGGTAAACTAAACCCATGCATTCTTGAGATGGTGTTTATCTCTCAGACTTGCTACTCAAAATGTGGCCTGGGGAGCCAGCAGCCTGAGCATCACCTGGGAGCTGGTTAGAGCTACAGAACCCTAGGCCCCACCCACCTAAGTGCTGGTTAGAGCTGCAGAACCTCAGGCCCTGCCCACCTGGGAGCTGGTTAGAGATGCAGAGCCTCAGGCCCCGCCCACCTGGGAGCTGGTTAGAGATGCAGAGCCTC